GTAGGGGTCTGGTTGTTGCGCATGACACAACATCTTATTATAACAAACATTTGTTCCAAGTTATTTTAGATTCCTTTGATAAATGACAAAGTTATGGACCGGACACGAAAGTGTGACGGACGGACAGACGGAGCCTATTTCTATATCCCTCTTTTTTCTTCGAAAAGGCGGGGGACAATAAGGGTCATCAAATGGTCATGACAAACATCAATGCCAAATATGAAGACTGTGAGTCAAAGGATTCTTAAGTTATTGGGCAGACAAGGTTTTTTTCAGTAAAGGCCCTTCTAACCTTGACCTTTGTGACCCGAAAATCAATAGGGGTCATCTTCTAGTCATAACCAACCTCAATACCAAATACGAAGACAGCTGATTAAAGCATTTTTAAGCAATTGAGCAGATAAGCTTTTTTAACTTAGGACCCTTCGGCCTAAAAATCTTATGGGGTCACCAAATGGTCATAACCAACCTGAAGACTATGGGTCAAAGAATTCTTACGTTATTGGGCGGACAAGCTTTTTGAAGTCAAGGCCCATGTGACCTTTGACCAAGTGACCTTAGCATCAATAGGGGTCATCTAATGGTCATGACTAGCCTCAATGCCAAATATGAAGACTGTGGGTCAAAGGATTCTAAAGGTATTGGGTGAAAAGCTTTTTTTAGTCAAGGCCCTTCTAACTTGACTTAGTGACGTCAAATTCAATAGGGGTCATCTACTAGTAATTACCAACCTCAATACCAAATATGAAGACTGTTGATCAAAGCATTCGCAAGCAATTGAGCAGACAAGCTTTTTGAAGACAAGACCCATGTGACCTTGACATTTGACCCCAAAGCAATAGGGGTCATCTAATGGTCATGACTAACCTCAATGCCAAATAGGAAGACTGTGGGTCAAAGGATTCTTAAGGTATTGGGTGGACAAGCTTTTTTTATAACTCAAATTCAATAGGGGTCATCTACTAGTAATTACCAACCTCAATACCAAATATGAAGACTGTTGACCAAAGCATTCGAGAGCAATTGAGCAGACAAGCTTTTTGAAGACAAGACCCCTGTGACCTCAAAATCAATAGGGGTCATCTAATGGTCATGAACAATGTCCATGCCAAATATGAAGACTATGGGTCAAAGGATTCTTAAGTTATTGGACGGAAAAAACTTTTTTTTTAGTCAAGGCACCTGTGACCTTAACCTCAAAATCAATAGGGGTCATCAACTTACCATAACCAATCCCAATACCAAAGAAGACTGTGTGTCAAAGGAATCTTAAGTTATTAAGCGGACAAGCTTTTCTTAGTCAAGGCCCTGTGACCTTGACCTCTTAATCAAAAAGGGTCATCTAATAATTGTGACTAATCTCTATGCCAAATATAAAGACTGTGGGTCAAAGCTTAAGTTATTGGGCTGACAATCTTTTTTTAGTCAAGGCCCCTGTGACCTTGACCTCAAAATCAATAGGGGTCATCTATTAATCATGACCAATTTCATACCAAATATGAAGACTGTAAGTCAAAGGAATCTTAAATTATTGGGTGGACAAGGAAAAACAGATGGATGGCTGAATCCAGTATACCTCTGCAGGGGGTATAATTTTACTTTGTACGAGTAGGCCTTGATTTTGACTTAGTGACATTCTTTCTTGTCCTCTGATGTAGAGCTGTAAAATTTGAATTGAACTTTGATATCAGCTGACCTAAACTTTGATGAAGTCACTGACTTTCTTGTCCTTCAATGTGCACAGTTTTAGATGTAAAATTTAACTTTGATACAGCTGACATAGGTTTTGACAAAGTGACCTTTTTCTTCTCCCTTGTTGTACAGCTATAAAATTTAGACAATGTTCACAGTTTTACCTGTAAAATTGATATTTGATATCAGGTGACTCTTTGACCACTAGCATAGTTCCTGGTGTAGAAATGAAATCTGATGACCTAAATATTGACCTAGTGACCTTCTTCCTTGTTTTTATGGGTACAGTTATGAAATTTGGACAATATAATATATAGTATAAATAAAAAATATATTTTGCTTGAAGTATGGTCTTGAGACCAACATTGTTCAAATTCTTGTAATAAACACTAGTTTTCACTGCCAGTCAGTCCTTATGTGAGCACTTTGTTTCTATTTTTAGTAACAGTGACATTGATTCCATGGGGTCCAGAGGCAATCCCAACCAGGGTCTTCATATAAGCATGCTATATACCAAGTTCGATTAGAATATCTCATTTCTAACTCTAGTTATTGTCCCTGAAGCCAGGTTTCTATTTATAACAGAAAAATTGAACCCAGGGGGTCTAAAAGCAATCCCAACTGGGTTTTTCACATAAAGTAACTATATACCAAGTTTTATTACAGTAACTCATTCCAAACTCTAGTTATGGTTTTAGAATGACCGACAGACAGACAAGCTTTGTTTGTGGGGGTTACGATGAAAATAATGATAAATACAGTGTAATAACAAAAACACAGAAAACAAAGAGACCATGCATTTTGTTCATTTCTTTATTTAAAATTTTATCTGAAAATATACAATACATAAAAAACAGAGAACTTGTTTGTTTTTTTTAATTTGAAAATTTATACATAATTTTTAACAAATATTTGATAAAAACATGCTTTAACTATTGAACACAATAATAATATAAATATATACAAAACAAAACAAAATAATCAAATGAATAAGAACTTAGTCAAGTGAAAATAGACATTTAAAACTTTAATTAAAGGTTATTATTTTAATTTTTTATGTAAATATTGACATTATAGTTGCTTTTTCAAATTATCAATCAAATATGTTCATTAACAACAAAGTAAAGGCAATTAGTGCAAAATTTAACATCTTGACCATGACAATCAAGGTCACTTTAAGGTCAAGGTCAATCTTGGATCATTAAACATGATGGCTATGGCAATAAGTGTACAATGCTGAATCTGAGTCATTAAAAAATAACCAAAGTTAACACAACTGAAGCACAATTCAATATTTTGATTTTTAAATGTTCTTAGCTCATTTTAAGGTCAAGGTTGTAATTTGAAGTATTTAACATGTCGGTTTTGACATTGCCTGGTGTCTAAATACAACCTGTTAATAAATAAGTTTATTTCTGTTCAAAGAAATTTCAGTAAGTTGACCTTGAAGGACTTGTCTTCAAGGTTGTTGTGAAACCAGGTATGAAGACAATCCATTTATAATAACATAGTTATTGACATTTATAGCAAAATCTAACAAAAATGAAATATGACCTAAAGGTCAATGTCATTTATGTGGCAGCATCAAATAGGTTTAATTTTCTTAAAAGTCCTATCATAAAAATATCCTTTTGTCCAAGTATGAAGACAAAATCATTGCTTAAAATCACAAAAAAAATAGCCAAATAATTATATTCACTTTAAACAAAAATAAAAACTTTTACCTTGAAAGTTGTCCATATTTATGAAGTGAAAGGTCAAGTTCAGTCGGGTCAACTTAAAGGTTTTTTGTCCATTAGGGTTGTTGTGTTCTAAGTAAAAAAACAAGAAGGCAATGATGGCCTGGATCGATCACCTGAGAAAAACATTAACTAGAAAATTTTTTTAATGATTATTTAACTGACATCACACCTGGGTACCTAAATTGTTTAATCCAGCCCGCATTTTTTAAGCTCACCTGTCACAAAGTGGGCAGGGTGTTGAGCTTTTGGATCGCTTTTTCGTCCGGCGGTCCGTCCGTCGTAAAAACTTTTACTTTAAATGACATCTCCTCATAAACCACTAAGCAAATTTCATCCAAACTTCACAGGAATGTTCCTTTGGTGTCACCTTTAAAAAATTGTTCAAAGAATTTAATTCCATGCAGAACTCTAGTTGCCATGCAACCGAAAGAAAAAAACTTTAAATATCTTCTTTTAAAAAACCCAAAGAGCTAGAGCTTAGATATTTGGCATGAAACATCTTCTAGCGAGTGTCTACCAAGTTTGTTGAAATAAAATCCCTGGGGTCAAAATTGGCCCCGCCCCAGGGGGTCATTGATTTTCCCTATATGCATATAGTAAAAACTTAAAAATTCTTCTTTTAAAGAACCCAAAGAGCTAGAGTTAAGAAATTCAGCATGAAACATCTTCTAATGAGTATGTACCAAGTTTGTTCAAATAAAAGCCCTGGGGTCAAAATTGGCCCCGCCCCGGGGGTCATTGATTTTCCTTATATGTGTATAGCAAAAACTTAAATAATCTTCTTTGAAAAAACCCAAATAGCTAGAATTTAGATATTAAGCATGAAACATCTTCTAGTGAGTTTCTACAAAGTTTATTCAAATAATAGCCCGTGGGTAAAAATTGGCCCCGCCCCGGGGGGTCTTGATTTTCCCTATATGCATATAGTAAAAACTTAAAAAATCTTCTTTGAAAAAACCTAAATAGCTAGAGTTTAGATATTAAGCATGATACATCTTCTAGTAAACGTCTACAAAGTTTGTTCAAATAAAAGCCCTGGGGGTAAAAACTGGCCCCGCCCCCAGGGGTGTCATTGTTTTTAACTATATGTGTGTTAGTAAAAAATTAAAAATCCTCTTTTTTTTAAAAACCCAATGAGCTGGAGCTTAGATGTTTTAGGCATGAAATATCTTTTTATGGATGTCTACCAAGTTTGTTCAAAAAATAAAAGCCCTTGGGTGATGAAAATTGGCCCTTGGGGGGGGAAGGGGGGGCGGATGAGATTCATTGTTTTTCATTACATGTGTGTAGTAAAAACTTGACATTGTGAAACATCTTCTAATGAGTGTCTTCCAAGTTTGTTCAAATGAAAGCCCTGGGGTTTAAACTGGGCCCGCTCCGGGGGCCTATATACAGGTGAGCGACCTCAGGGCCATCATGGCTCTCTTGTTTATATTGGTAGAAGTCTGCTATGAAATGTATTTTGACAAATATCTAAGGTCTTGGCATCGTACTTTCGTGTTTTGACACCAACGCTAATGACATTTTCACAAGACAGTTGTACCTTATTCTCATTTTTATGTTTGCTAAGATATGCATGTGTTGGTCAGAATTTGTTAAATCTTTTTTTTTTAAAAAGAGTTACATTGTGCATATATATAGAGTTTAAATATGAATATGAATAAATGTTAATTTATTGAACCTGTGAGTTAATTCTGGGTATTTCTGGAGCAACCCTTGTAATAACTAGTACCCAACTGTGTTAATTCAGATCAATACATATTGTATTAAATGCAGTATACTAGTGTACAGAATGTGTACCGTGGGTTCTGACGATGCAATTTAACCAGTCTAGTACAAACAATACAATTAATTTCTGAAAGAGACAGCTGTAATCAATTTAATGATCACAAGTTAAATATATGTATTGATGATGTGTAATGTATGCATATTAAGACATCTTGAATACTTTTAAAAAGCTTATTTACACTTTTTTCAGCTCAAATGCCTCATTTGGGAAAAACAAAAATCAAAAACTATTTATTTCATATCTAGCAATAATTTTACTCTACTCCTCATGTACTTAATTAATGCCATTTTTCTTTTCCTTTTAGAAAGTTCGTGCTTTGCCTCTAATCTACCGAAGTTCAAAACTGTTGTCATCATCACCATCAATATATATTGGCATATCATAACAATGGCAACAATAAACATCGGTCCAGCATATCTAAACATGTCTTGTAATCCAACAAAGTCTCCGACACCCAACAGTACTAATATTATAGATACCCACGAATCATAGAACGTCTTGTAACCGTCCATACTGTAACCGAAAAAAAGAATATCCTAAACTTGCAAAAGAAGTCGTCATGACAGCAAACCCAAACACATATCCGATATAAACAGGGCGAATATTACTTAGAGTTTTTGTCACAATTTTAATTCGCTTGTTGTAGCGCACATGCTTTAAAGTTTTCAATGTAACGAGAGCGACAAGAACTGCAGATACGTAACCGAAGACAAAGTCCCAGAAAATTGCCGAATGAAAATTGATATATCCATTATCTTGTGCCTGTTTTAACTCAGCAAGAGTATTGTTAATGGTAAAGTATCTTTTTATAAAAAGACCTAATAATGAAACTGATAAAGATAATTGAGATATTTCAACATATGACCAGAAGTCAGAAAAAATATTTTACTTTTCCCAACTGTTTGAACCGTTTAACTTCCACATAAATAAATAGACATGTGAAACAAATAAACAAGATTTCACAAACCAACACTACCATTTGATAATCTGTCGAGTAATGATATAGACTGGAAGTGAACTCGTAATTTATCGGAATACTCTACCGACATTAGTGAATTCAAATAGATAAACTACAACAGTGAATAAATCTACATTTGGGTTATATAGAGTAAATTCTATGAAATATTGCTCTAGTATATTGGTCTATCCATTTATCTGCAAATAATCCAGAAAGAATATCTGAAAATAAACAGAAAAAGCAATAAATGAACTTCATCAAAATCTGACTATATAATACAATAATATAAAGCCAATAACAGGTATTTCAGTAATAGGCAAAGACAACTCTGTTATATAGAGGATATTGAAAGTGTAAGTTCAATAGTGAATTTATTGCACTAGTTGAATAAAATTATATTATGCGAGCCTTTTGACCAGCATAATATTATTTTATTAAACGAGTTCAATAAATTCAGTAATGAACTTACACGAATTTAATATTCTGCTTATCACATACCAAAAATAAAGAATGCTTAAAGCGAAAAAAAATATAAGAAGTCATTTTTCATTGTCCCGCCTATAGAATAAAGCTTACATTTAGCATGTCTTTACACTATGTTTGTGTAACGCTAATTATGTCACATCAAAATATATGCACGGCCGTGCAATACCATATTTACGGAGTCACAAAATCGGCATGGTGTGTGATAAACCCCATTCATTGAAAACTTTAATATGGATAAATTTTTCTCCGCTCTCTTTGCCTTTTAGCTTCGCTGAACAGGTTGATTATGTGTCCTTCATTCTATTACAATTTATGCCAAATTTGAATAAACCAAATCTCTTTAAACATTTTATGCTCACAAATTATGATAAAAAAATTATTGAAAACTTTATCAGGAATGTTAATCTTTTAACAATGACAACAAATAATGAATACCTGAATGAGTGGAAACTTTTGCTGGTAGTTGTAGCACATATCCTCCACCGGAATACGTCCCATGTGTCCCAGGAAATGGCAAAGTCTTGAGATCCCACGTGCTGCGGTATTTCCAATGATCAGATTTATCATCAACATTAGTAGCATCAACACCAGTCAAAGGTTTGGACCAGGACTGGTCAAAATATCTTGTTTCTTCTTCGGTCACGGAGTACGGCCCTTTACAATCACGGGGCAAACCGTACATAATTGGTGCACAGACGTCTGCAAAAAAATTAAAATCACAACTTAGTATACACGTTGCAAATGAGAATGATTTCAACACGTTTATTTTTGTTTAAGACAATTAGTTACTTTACTAACTTCTAAAATTGACCAAAATAATTAATCTTTTGTAAAAGTATTTGATGTAATTATTTTTATTTGTTACCAAACCAACAAAGAACTGGAACAGTTAACAGTTTAAATTTTGCACCTGTTTTGATTCTTAATTGTCGTAATCGATACGTTCCTACAAGATAATGATTGGAGCCTCGTGTAGCATAGTCATGGTCTGATGTGATATCAGTCATTGCAGGTATAAATGTACTGTGAAGGTATTTCTCAAAGTCGTCTGTGTTAGATACCTGTCAATATACAATACATTTGTACAAGAAAACAGTAAGGAGTCTGCTGAAAATCACTTCTATACAATTTTTTTTCCAGGTCTGTTTGTTGCTTCGAAATGTCAAAATAATTCTGGAATTGGGCAATAAAAGTACAAGCAAAGGAAAATAAGGAAAAATCGCAGACTCAGCATTATCGAGTCTGTGCATTCGAGATTATAAGGTTATTTTATCGGCTGCTGGTACACACCGGAATATCTAGTTTGAGAGTAATTGTTTACAGAGGTACTGAGGCTATGCCAAGTTTCCACTAAACAGTTACCCGAGAGGTAGATATTAACATCTGTGACGACAGCCAGTGTTTGATTCTTATTCCTGCATATTACATATTAATCATAACTCAAAAATAAATTACGAATTCAGCACTTTTTTCTTATAGTAGCTTATGAATTAACAACTACATTCATAACAGCAAAATGACGTCATCCTAAGAATTCACTTCACTCATTAAAATGGGCATGTGAATGACGTCATTTAATGCACAGAACTTGTCTTACACAGTGGGTGTAAGACATGTTTTTCTAGCACCTGTGTAAACAGTAGATAATCCTGTCTGATTTAAAGTGACATGTCTTGCACAATACCTAGTGCCATCTGAAACAACATGTTAAGTATTGAAATTGATAATCTCAAAGAGCCATAAAAAAGTAACACAGATAACAGGGCAACCTTTTAAAATTGCTGCACAACTTTTTTACACTTCCCTCACAAAGTCAACCTCATAAAAAGTATATTTAATTAATTTTCCAAAATTAAGAAAATGCATATGTTCTTTTTTAATATCATCTGATGAAGACTTCAACAAACATTGACAAACAACTAAATTTTACTAAATTACAGGAAAATCATTTATATAAATGTCGAAATAAAACAAAGGAAGTTTTTCTTTAATAACAGGATTTATTTCCATAGAGTGGTATGAAAATAAATAATTTCATTTTCTGTTTATTATATACATTTTTGAAATTACAATTTGAATTACTTTCCCTTAACGTTGTATATTGGTTGAATTTAGAAGAAGTAGTCTGACAATACACCAGTGAAACTAGAACTGCCACTATCATGGCGTGAAATACCCCCGCATACCACTTTGTCAGAATCAACAGTGGCCATTTAGAGCTCAGGACAACCTCCCTGCCAAATCTGAGGTTACTAAGCCAGTGCATTGCTAAGTATGTATTCTACATGCTTTCAAATGTCAATACATTGCGGACAGGACATTCTTTAGCAATTGAGAAAGAAAAGCTTTTTTTTTTTGTCAAGGTCCTGTGACCTTTGACCAAGTGACTTCAAAATCAATAGGGGTCACCTTATAGTCATGATCAACATCCATACCAAATATGAAGACTGTGGGTCAAAGGAATCTTAAGTTTAATGGGTGAACAAACTTTTTGAAGTCAAAGTCCCTATGACCTTGACCTTTGATCCAGTGACCTCAAAATCAAAAAGGGGTCATCTACTAATCATGATCAACATCAATGCCAAATATGAAAGACTATGGGTCAAAGGAATCTTAAGTTATTGGGCGGACAAGCTTTTTTGAAGTCAAGGCCCCTGTGACCTTGACCTTTGACCTGGTGACCTCAAAATCAATAGGGGTCATCTACTAATCATGACTAACCTCCATGCCAAATATGAAGACGTAGGTCAAAGGAATCTTAAGTTATTGGGCGGACAAGCTTTTTGAAGTCAAGGCCCCTGTGACTTGACCTTTGACCTAGTGACCTCAAAATCAATAGGGGTCATCTACTAATCATGACTAACCTCCATGCCAATATATGAAGACTAAGGGTCAAAGGAATCTTAAGTTATTGGGCGGACAAGAAAAAAACCGACGGACAGCCGGACAAGCTGATTCCAGTATACCCCCCTTACAAACTTTGAGGTATAATAAGGACAAGAGCACCACTAGGCGGAGCATTATATGCCCGAAAGTGTTTTTTTTTTAGTTAAGGATGAAGCATTTGTAAGGCATTACATAAATTAAATAAAGTATTACCTCCTTCAATAGCAATCCTCCTATAAAGTTTGAATATTGTGGGCCAAATGGAACTTAAGTTATGCTCTGGAAACTGTTTTTCAGTTTTGAGATTATAGCGACTTGAACTTTGACCTTGTGACCCCAAACTCAATAGGGGTTTTCTACCCATATGGACTATCAATCTATGAAGTTTGAACACTTGTGGGCCAAACAGAACTTAAGTTATCTTCCGGAAACTGTTTTTCAGTTTTTAAGGTAATAGTGACTTTGACCTTGTGACCCCAAAATCAATAGGGCTCTTCTACACAATATGGACAATCATCCTATTAAGTTTGAATATTGTGGGCCACATGGAACTTGAGTTATGCTCTGGAAACTGTTTTCAATTTTAAAGTAATAATGACCTTGACCTTTGACCTTGTGACCCCAAAATCAATAGGGTCTTCTACCCAATATGGACAATCATCCATGAAGTTTGAATACTGTGGGCCAAACGAAACTGAAGTTATGCTACAGAAAAGTTTTCAGTTTTAAGGTGATAGTGACCTTGACCTTTGACCTTGTGACTTCAAAATCAATAGGGGTCTTCTACCCAATATGGACAACCATTCTATGAAGTTTAAATACTGTGGGCCAAACGGAACTAAAGTTATGCTCCGGAAACTGTTTTCAGTGTTAAGGTGATAGTGACCTTCACCTTTGACCTTGTGATCCCAAAATCAATAGGGGTCTTCCTACACAATATGGATCAATCATCCCTATGAAGTTTGAATATTGTGGGGCCAAATGGAACTAAAGTTATGCTCCGGAAACCAAATTGCTAACGGACGGACAGACAGAGGCCAGGGGGTATAACATAATATGCCCAAAATTCTTTCGGGCATATAAAAATATGTTCCATTGCAGTGAAAAATATTTTTTTACAGTGAAAATGTTGAAATTGAAAATACTTATTTTATTTCATCAATATTTTTCAAAATTTCATTTATAAGTATATAATAAAGGCACATACCCTATACGTTTTCTAGCAAATATACATGAAAATTAATACCTTTCCCATTTTCATTCCAATAGAAGGTTTCACAAACAGTGACCGGACTGCTTCGGTGCACAGAAAAGAACTATAAATATTACGATGTCCATGGACCATAGTTATAACTACTGATACATAAAACATGTGAAATATAACGTCTCGTATAGTAGTATTCATCAGCCATTCCACCTGCCAAAAAATATTCAACTTTAGTATTTTCTTTTTTTTTCTTGAACAAATTATGGACAGTTTGAAGATTAAAATACATGTACTAAAATCATATTCAGTCACCAAGACATTATGTAAATAAAAAACTTATTATATTAAAAGTTTTGTAAGCATGATCTAAAAAACAAAGGTAAAACCTTCACTTATAAAAAAAAAAAAAAACATACCCTTAATCTCTCTTTTATATTGTCCAGCAGCCTTTTTGGAAGAGGCTCCATAATAATCTGGTGTGCTTCTGGTGGTTTAATATAAACAGATTGTACATATTCCTCGTCAGCATCTACATGTGTAAGTAACAATTTTAGTTCAAGGACATGGCGATTCGTTTGAATGATTTTGCTTAATATATATATAGAACTAAGTTATTCGTATTTTTTTTAAGTTTGAAACTTTTTTGAAGCCTTTAACAACTAAGTTCAACTTTTCAAAATAACTAAATCTAGCACAGAAGAGTGCGCCCCAGCAATTTCGCGACACTTAAACATTGAATCATTCCGACGACGGTCTTTATTCCAATGACTTCAAAACTGCCTGGCGACAAATTTCCAAATTTATTAAAATGAAATAAGGTCGGTTTAAAACCGTCCGTACCTATAAAAAGGGTTTGCCTTCCCTGGTTTTCAACCAAATTTGAAAGTATTTAAATTCATACTGAAAATGGACTGCTATTGAGGCACTATACCTTTTATAACATTATCACTTTTTTTAACTATGACATCACATTATTCATACCTCGTTTCCCGTACCTGGGAAACACTTTCACCCAAAGATACTGTTTTCTTGAACACCTAAAGGTCAGTTTTTAACAACCCTAACAGCCCCACCTTTTTTTAAAAAATAGAAAAAAGGATTTAACATAAAAAAGTTTCCCAAAACCCCCCTTACAAATTTTTGGGATCTAGCATTTCCCAGTAATTCCCCTATATGGGTATTATGAGTAAAGGTTTTAAATAATCAAATTCTCTTTTTTTGAATTTTTTTAAGGTAATTTAAATTAAGGCCAGAAAAAATCCCATTGTTTTTGGTTGTACCCAAAAAAGATTTGGTTAAAAATTTTCCCCAAAAAAATTTTTAAAAAAGAAAATTTTAATTTTTTTTAAGCCCTTTTCTACCCTATTTTTCCCAAATTTAAAATTTCTTTGTTTAAAATAAACCCAAAAAAGGGAAAAAAATAGAAAATTTTAGTTTGTTTTCATTTTCCCGCTGTCCCCCCGTTTAAAAAGGCCCCCCCGCATCTGATGCCCGGGGTTTCCCTTTCTGTTCGCTTTTCAAACCCTATAAAAATAGAGAAAATGATAGCGAACGCATGGGGTTTCCCGAAACAGACTGCGCGGACGCGCGGCTGGTCTGGGTCCATGCTGGTGCAAAAACCCCCTTGTTTGGGTTTTGTTGTGGGCGCGGTTTATATTAAAAATTTATGTATTC